AAAAAGACAAGCTTTTCTCCCCTATGACCCATCAATCCCACTTTTGGGCATTTAACCAAACAATCACAAACAAGGTCATATCAAAGCTACCAGCACAACCATGTTTATTGCAACATTATTCACCATAGCTAAGATATGGAACCAACCCAACGCCCCTCAGTAGATGAATGGATCAAGAAAATGTGAAAGAGAGAGAGAGAGAGAGATTGGAATTCTATGCCTCCAGCAGAAAGAATGACATCACCCCATTTGTTAGGAAATGGAAAGACTTGGGAAAAATTATATTAAGTGAAGTAAGACAGGCTCAAAGAAATGTAAGTCCCATGGTTTCCCTTATTTGCAATAACTAGTACATGTCTAGGACACGCAGAAAAGGTCAAAAGCTATGTCTATATGACCAGATAAGATGATGTTAAGTGAAATGAACCCCAAGATAGGTATACAAGTGTTTTTTTTCTTTCTTGATATTGTTTTTAATGTATTTAAAATATATTATATGATTTTTTTGTTTCTTTTATATGTTCTGCCCCCATGGTATAACCCCTGTTTTCACTGTATTTGATTCTAGTGTCCTGCATCTTGTATATACATTTTTGTAATTTGGGGAGGGGAAGGGATATAACAAAATGCTTAAATAAGGATACAGGTTGACCTATTGTAACAACAAGAGGTACAAGACACTATGTTGAAAAAGAACTTTACAATTTGGGGGGGGAGGGGAGGAGGGAAGATTGAGGAGGTGAGGAGGGAAGGGATGTAGGGAGAAAACAAAGGAGAAGGTAATAATACTCAATAGGAAATGTACTCATTACCCTACTCATGTAACTGTAACCCCTCTGTACAGTATTTTTACAATAAAATATATATGAAAAATCAAAAAAATAGAAAAATAAAATTCTATGAATCCTAGAGAGAAAGAAAGAGTAGTGTAAAGGGGGTAGATTTGATTAAAGTACATTATATACAAATTTTAAATATAAAAAAAGACGAGCTCTTTCTGAAAATTGTTTTGTGTATGTATTTTGTTAAAAGAATATTTTTTTCATGATACTCTTAGGGCTTTTCCCCCTTTTAAAAGGAAACTGACTGCCCCTGTTTATAAAAATCACTTCAAAACATTCCAAGCAAGAGTTATACAAATCAGAGGAGACTTTTTCCAATAAGTTACCAGGCATTGATGAGACCTTGCTAAGGCCTTGCTCCCATGATACACTGTATAAACAGAATTACACATTGTGTAAATTTCTAAACAGAAATTCAAGGTCTTAGTGGGAGTTAAAGAGACCCTCACAAAGAAATGTCACAGAAGAAAGACTTGCTTTCTTTCCCCTTCAGACACAAGACTGCTTTTTCTAACAACTCTTCCAAAAGTCAGAGTTATGAGACCATGTGGTAAACCCATTACCAGAGGAAAAGAAGCAGAAACAAGAGCATACAATTCACCCTTCAGATTTGTGGATTTTGCATTGATGAGTCTAAGCCAACTACAGATGGAAAATACCTTCCCATTGCATCTGCACTCAACTTACACAGACTTTTTTCCCCCTTGTAACTATCCACTAAACAATTCTGTGTGGCAACTATTCACATAGCATTTGTCTTGCTTAAGGTATTGTAAATCATTTAGAGATAAAGTGTAGGCACAGGTGATACATAAATGCTTTTCTCTTACAGAGCAATATTAAATACTAGGTTTCCCGAGAGTTAATTTGAACTTTAAGAGAGCTCTTTCTCTTTCTTAGCCTGGCATAATTTTTTCTATTAGCTTCTCAATCATCATCTGGAAAGAAAACATTCATGAACAACATCATTAAAAACAGCTCTGATAAAGCACAGTAATTACTCTGTATCAAGAGAGACGTTTTTATCTTCTAACGTGCTTTTCTCTTTTCCCTATGAGTCAACTAAATTGATAAGGAAGAATACACAACATAATGTGGAAAAGGTGTGGCTCCAAGGGTAGAGTGCCAGCTTGGAGCAGAAAAGAGCTAACAGTACTGAACACAATGACATATTGTTTCTGCACACTGTTGGTGAACATTTCATTCTTGGAATTTAGAAGTGATCATGTTTGTTCCCAAAGTTGAAATCTCAACATTACTAAAGACCATACTGAAATAACATGGACATCGTTTTCTTAAGACCTTCAGAGAGTATTGCACTATTTCATTCCAGTAGAGCATTTTTTGAGACTCACGATGGAAGGTGGTGTCTTTATGACAATGAGAAAGAGTAGGTATGGGTAGAGGGTAAGTGATTGGTAAGAATAACAGATGTCCACTTCACCACTGCAAAATCATTTGCAGAGAAAGTTTTAGTCATTCATAACTGTTTTGTTCCCTTCTTTGTTCTTTAGTAAATACTTGCAAATAAATAAATGCAAGAATACCTGTTATATGTCTGGTTCTATAAACTTCCCACCTTGGCTAGCTAGCAAGTCTGCCCTCATAGAACTTTCAGTGTCGCAGAGAACACAACCTTTCACTTCCTGAATAAAAAAAAGTATACGAAAATCAACAAGAGCCACTTCTCACCTGTGTGAGAAAGGTACTAATGGCTCATACCTATAGTCCTAACTACTCAGGAGACTTGAGGTCTGGAGGATTGTGGTCAAAGCCATCCAGGCAGAAATGTCCATGAGACTCCATCTCCAAAATAGCCAGCAAAAAGTTAGAATGGAAGTGTAACTCAGGAGGTAGAGGGCCAGCCAAGCAGGCAAATCTAGCAAGCTCAAAGCCCTTGAGTTCAAATCCTTTTTCTTTCCATGTTTGGAGCTGAATCCCAGCAACCTGAAGACAAAAGGCCAGTATAGTAGATCAGAAAACAAAAAAAGGTTTTAAGACTCTTGTCTGTAAACCTTGAGGTCACCTTGGCACCATCTGCCTGAAGGCTTCAGACCCTATGGGATTCCCTTCTGTATCTATCACGTGCTGTTTCATGCACCCACATATTCCACCACCCCTATACTACTTTATCTTCCATCTACCTCCATTTAGGCATTGGCCTAAATTTTCACCACCACTTCCACAGTTCTCAGAAATGAGCCATTGCACATAATCATTGAGAAATACCATTAAAGGAGTGACTGACTGAATGGCTCCCACATCTTCATTAACACTCTAGTTCTATAGAATAAAGTCCAAAGAATTCACCTGGCGTTCAAGACCCTTCAGGATTGGGCCCCAGGCTCTCTTCCTAGCCTTCTTTATGACATTCACATATCCTACAAGTACAGTGCAGTAGGGCTTATTTTTGTTCTCTCAAACATCATGTCTGTGCTGCTAGAACAAAATACCACAGACTCAGTCATTTAAGGGAACAGAAAGTTATTCGTTCTCAAAGCTGGAAAATCTGAGACACTTTTACAGGTTTGAGGATCTGCTACAGACTGCATACTCAAAGGAGAGACATTGTGTCTTCATGAGGAAGAAGGGGAGGAACAGGTCTGCCTTAGGCTGCCTAAAGCCTCTTTTATAAGGGCCTAAACATGATATATAAGGGAGAACCCTCACTGAACTAGTCACTTCTTAAAGTCTTAAAGTCCTACCTCCTATATAGGTGTGGGCTAGTGCTGAGGCTAGAACTCAGGACCTCTCACTCTTTGCTTAGCTTTTTCATTCAAGGCTTACCCTCTACCACTTCAGCCACACCTCCACTTCCTTGTCTTTTTTCCCCCTGGTTAATTGGAGGTTAGACTGTCTGGATTTGTCGGCTTGGGCTGGCTTTGCATCACCATTCTCAGGTCTCAGCCTCCTGCATATTTAGGATTACAAATGTGAGTGACAAGCACCAGCCAAGTTCCACTACTTAATATCATCACAGTGGCCACACCCAAATTCAGTGTATTCAAAGGCAAGACTCAGTCGAACACTCTCGAAGTGGATTGTATTAATGCTGAACTTTATCCCCAGTGTTCTTTTCAGTCTGCTCCCCTTCCTCCACCTTAGGACTTTTCTCTCAATCTTCTCGCTCCAGATCTCTCCCATCATGCTTCATCAGACGTTCAGGCAGATACTTTTTCTAATCTATAGTTCAATTTCTTTTTGTGCCATGCTCTCACTCTTACATATTTATGATCATTATCTAATATGCTCATCTCTATTAGATCCTAAATTCTTGAAGATAGGAAATGCACCCTTCCAAGAAACAAACATAATGCTTCATCCAGTGGGTATCTAGTATATTTTATCTGTTAGTGAATTAAAATGGGACCACTAAAATTTTCATTTCAGAACTAGATAAATTGGGAGGTATATGTGCCTGGGGGAGAATGATCAAAGGGGGTGATATGGATCAAGGTGCATTGTACTTAAAAACTGATGTGTCAAATTGAAATTCCTTTGTTTACAACTACTTAAAGATAACAATAGTAAATATACCCATAAATACCCAGCTCAAAAATAATTTAGACCCAGGCATTGGGGCAGTTATTTACAGAAGCCAAGCTAGGAAGATACTGCAGGAAGGGAAAGAAAAGACAAAGAGGGACTTGTTGGAAGTGTTAGGCGCAAGCACGGATGCCTGTTTCTCTTGCTGATGAGAGCAAAGTTCTTAATGGAAGATGATCCCAATCAATAGAGCCAGACAGCTGATTTATATAATGGCATCAAGCTGAAGTAGTGGTCTTTCTCTCCAGAGCGTTCCTGTGAAGGGAAAGGCTGCTAGAACCAGGGGGACTCCACAAGTAGATCTGTGTTCTCAACGCGCCACAGGATTGCTCCAGCAACCTGCTCTGGGCTGGGTGCTGAAGACTGGCGCAGGGGCCAGTGTTGCTGCTGCTGCTGCTGTGGCTGCTTGCTTGCTTGCTTGCTACAAAGCAATTACGGCAGTTAGGGATTGACCATCAGGTGCTCTCTGTAACCTGGATCTTGGCTACCAAGGAGAAATTTTATTTTGTGAAGATTGGGGAAGCTCACAAACCTAAACAAGATATCCAAGCAACAGAAGGAGAGAAAGTGGGATCTTGAGCCAAAATATTTGGCCAAGTGGATCTGGAGGAAATGTCATCATTGGTAAAGGAGGACTTGGAGAAGAAACTGTTTAAGCCACTCTCTCAGCATCTCTACGAGTTTATTGAGATAGAGTTCTCGGTCCAGGACAGGTATTACCTCTGTGTATCAGGTAATCTGCTCATTCAATTAATTACTTACATACTTGGATGGGAGGTGAGGGTTTTTTTTCCCTTGTATTTATTTTCCTGCACAGCATCGCATCTTCTTGTGATCAAATTGAGGAATTTAGAAAAAGAAAAAAATTGTATTATGATCCTCTAGCTGTTCAGAAATGAAACTGGATATGTACTCTTCCTGGCTGAATTTTTATTTTGCTTCTGATCTTCTGTTTTCACATGGCATGCGTTTTATTTTTATATAAGAACTTTTAAAAAATCAACAGAAACTTCTCCAGTATTTTTAAATACATTGGAGAACTGCCTTGTTTTCAACCATTCTAGATCACGAGTGTTTTTCTTCTTCCTTCTAGGACAGAAAGAAAGCCTTTTAGGTTTTTGCCTCTTCTCCTCCCTCCCCCAGACTTGTGCAGACTTCCTAGTAGTTTTCTGAAGACAGATTTTTTTTTTAAGTTTTTTCCCTTATATAAAAAAACAGGACTTCAATGGTAGAAATGAGTTCATGAAGATTGAACTTTAAGGACAAAGGGATGTTGTATAAAATACTTAGAGCTCAAGAGTATTTGTATTTAGTAAAATAAATATTTTTCCCTCATGTTTTTAAAATTCACAAAAACTGGACATGTGTAGGCTTTTGCACTTAATTATGATTTTCCACCCCTGTGATTTTTGTGCTAAATTTAGATAGAAATGTTTTGGCAAGGATTGAATTTAATATGCATCCTTCTCCTTGCCTGTGCCACTTCATTGACTTCAGATGGTTAGGAGGAAAGAGCTGGGGAACTTTCAGTGTTCATGGTGGATTTGCCTTCTCAAGGAACATGAGTATTCTCAGACAAGAACTCGTTATAATTCTGTTTCTGGTAATTGTTGAAGAAGGCCTTCCTAAAGCTCTCAAGAGGGAAATAGAACAGCTTCAAAGAAAGGGTGTTCTTTTTAAAGTCTACCATTTCTAACAAACAGTAGTATTAACCCAATAATAAGAGTAGTAATATTTATCTAACACGTTAGCATTTTACTTTTATTTTGCTCTACATACAAAGTACAAGTACTTGTCATAGCAACAAATGCAAACAAAAATTCAGCTCAGAAAAAGTAAGACATTAAGCAGGGCACCGGTGGCTCATGCCTACTTGTAATCCTAGCTACACAGGAGGCTGAGATATGAGGATCATGGTTCAAAGCCAGCCCAGGCAAGGAAAGTACATGAGACTCTTATCTCCAATTAACCACCAGAAAACCAGAAGTGGCAGTGTGGCTCAAGTGGTAGAGCACGCACCTTGACCTGAAGAGCTCAGGAACAGCACTCAGGCCCACAGTTCAAGCCCCACAACTGACCCCGCCCCAAAATGACATTTAGTTATGAAAAAGATAAATTAAGCCAATTTAAGTAAAAATTTATTTTTTATCCTAATCAAATCACTGTCAAAAATTATTTTCACTTGCTTTATTGAGAGAATATAATAATTATGTATCTATTGTGGTTTTTCCCAGTCAAGTGAAATTATTGTTGTATAGCAGCAGGAAGTATTTGTAAAGAGTTATCAACATAAAATAATCACAATAATTTATGTCTAATTTGTATAATTTATGCATATTTATATAACATGTAATTTATGTCTAATTTACCAAATACATCTTTAGTTCCTCCCCTCTGATATTACATAATTTACTAAATTAGAATTATATCATTAAACTCCTAGAATTATACAATTAACTAAGCTCCTAGAACTCAACATTTGGAAAAAATTCATTGATTTGACATGTACTACTCAGAATTACTGTGATATTTCAGATAAAAGCTAACATGGTACTTCATATCAATTCACAACCTTTCCGTGGCTCTCCTTTATATCATCTGAGAGCACTTGACCCAACATTTTGATAGAACAGTGGTTTAAATGATATGCAACAAACTTTGATAGTCTTTGAAGACACTCCACTCAAAAAAATTCCCATTGAGGTGAATCAAACAGGTATAGAGAAGTTGTTAAGGCAAGTTACTCCAAATGTGGAGTACTGTTCATCTTCAAGGAGTAGAGTTGCATAGTTAGGATTTTTCTCTTTGTACCTTACAACGCAGCAGTTCCAAACTTGCAGAAGTAATCATGCATTCTATCATGTGTTTTTCAAACTCAAGAAGATATGTTTAAAAGTTGTTAAACTCTGCTTATCTGACCTGGCTTTTACAGGAATCTCAAAACCTGAGGACTGACATATATCAAAATCAGACTATCAAAACTAGGAGCCATAAACTCAGTGTCCCTCTTTGTAGTTCTGTAGTGACCTGGGATGTATGTAGTGGATTTCCTGGGAGCGGTCACTTTCCCCTGAGGGTTTGCGTGGCTGTTTCACCCTGGGACCAGCTTACCCTGGTCTACAACCACTATCACTGGTACTTAGATGCAGCATTTGCTGATGGGGAAGCTCTTTTATGTTTAGGTACTAAGAAGAGATCACACATGTGCAAATGAATTCAAGAATTTCTGAAGGACTTAAAAGAGCACATTGAAGCATTAGTCAGAACTGAGAAGTAACTGAACATGGGGGAACAGACCCTAGAATCCCAGGAATCATGTCTGGTTATCAAATCTGACCTTTCTTTATCTGTCTATCAGTTGTAAAATTGGTAGATAATTAACCCCATGGCCTCAGTGTTGACATATTTGATAATAAAAACATTTCTATCTTGAAGCCACATTGTGAAAAGAGCCAACAGAATAAATTATAGGAAACATGACAAATTATAAACCAATAAAAGACAGTGTTAAACTTTCAAAATATACTGAAAAATATATTAACTGTAAAGATCTATGTTGAAATATGTGTAGGTCTTGGACATAAATACACACTTATAGTGAAAATAAGATATATATATACAACTGTATTTACTTCATATATAAAAAGGGATTGATGTATTATACTCTGTAATATAAATATTTTAAATTATATGGAGAGTCACAGTTAAATTATTTTAATTATTTTATTTATTATTTTAGAGAACATTTGCATTCACAGTTATAAATTTGAAAATAAATGCCACTTATATAAGTTTCTACCCATTTTAGTTTTTTTTGTTTCTACTCATTTTAGTTTTATAGAGAGAACAGAACTTTTTCTTTGTGAACCAAATGATCTCACAAATTTTGTCAAATTGCTCACACTACCAGTATAAAATAAGACAGCAATCACAAAACAAGACTTCATTCAGAACCAATGTTATGAAATTTGTATTAGAATCTTAACAACAGGATGTTAACAACAGAAAGCATAAAACTAAAGAATTTTTTCAGTGTTCATTTCAGTGGGCAGTAGTATTATCTGGAGAGAATTTACTCTTTCAACACTAAATTAAGATTAAATTATCCTTCTAATTCAGTGTTTTGTACAAGTAAAAATGAGGAATGATATTTTAAGTGTTCACAATTGGATGGACAACAGATATTTATTTATTTATTTATTGTAAAGATCCTGTAGAGAGGGGTTACAGTTACATGAGTAAGGCGATGAGTACATCACTTGTCGATCATTGTTACCCCTTCCCTTGTTGTTTTCCCACTATCCTTTCGCTCCCCTACCCCCACAACTCCTCCCCACCCAAAATTGTAAAGTTCATTTCCTATATACTGTCCTGTGGGTATCCTTGTTGCAGTGGGTCATCCTGTGTCCTTGTTTCAGTGTTTCGTTATTCCTCTTCCCTTCCAAGATTAGATATATGTATATACAAGATACCAAAATCAAGTACAGTGACAACAGGGGATATGCCATAGGGGAAAGAACATACAAAGGAAACAACAATAAAATAAAATAAAATCACATGGTACATTTAAAACAGTAAGAATAAAGACAGATACTTCAATGGCTATGTATACATTCTGAAAATAGAGCAGAGATTGATAGGTGAATTCATTTTTATTTGTCACATTGCAGATTTACTCATAATGATGGATACTGCTCTTCTATAGCCTTTCTATAATACTTCCTTTAACAAGTATGAATACTGTTAGGTTGGCAACAACCTAGGAACCTAAGCTCAAAAAAGCAGAACACACCTGAAAAAATTCTCATCTGACTAAACTTTTACTCTCCACTTGAAAAGATTAAGAAAGAATATAGAATTGATGTATAGAAAGTACATTTTACTAAAAATCAAATACACATATCATAATAATTATTATACAACTGATTACAGTCAGGATTGTAAAATGAGTAGTAAACATTTGATATTGAAATCATTTGTGAAATATTTTTAAATTCCTGCTTTTTATCTTTTAAAAGTAGAAAAACATCTTTCTGTATTTTTCACTTCTCTTTCTGTGTGTCTGTCTTTCTATCTGTTTCTCTGTGCTTCTCTCTCTGTTTCTTCCTCTCCCTCTCCTTCTCTATCTCCCTCTCCTTTTCCATCTGCCTCCCTCTCTCCCTCCAGCCCCCACTTCTCATGTATACCCACACCCATATACAAAGTACAGTTGTGGAATAGTGCCAAGTACCTTCATGGAGAAATGTAAATAGAATATGCTAACACCCTCTCCCACCAAATCTGGATAATTACAGTTAGAGACTGTAATACAGAAATGATGAAGCTTTCTATTTGGATTCATGAATTGCTTTGCATTTGTTGTGACTTCTTTGTCTGGGCTAGTTACGTGTATATTAGTATTGTCTCTAAAGTCAACGACCCATAATGTCATCTGGTATTTTCTCACGAGACACATTTTCCAAATGACTAATTCACTACTTTGGAGATACAAGTGTGGAGATAAAATTTATCTGCCAATTATTCTGATGTCCAAACTATATCTTTTATAGAGTGAACTGGAACTTTATATCAGATCTTTGAAGATGCAAAGATACTGGAAATTTTCATTATGAGAACGATACTCCAGATAATTAAATAAAAGTTGTCACGCATACCTACTGTCAGGCATGAGTCCACCGGACACCATTTCTATGCATTATTTATCTTCATGACAGCATTGTAAATTAGGTAACA